GAGTAGAAGCAGTAACGGTGCTTATGATGTGGCTGGATTACAGCTGAAAGGACATATGACCTGAGATTCACTCAAAAGGCAAAAGGGAAGTTTAGTGTTGCAAATATATGTATATGTTTATGTATGCATCAGATCTTCAACTGAAGTCAAGAACTGCTTAGAAAAAAAATGGAGTAACCGTAACTATGAGCAAGTCAGTGCTTGGATACAATCCCCTCCCCCCGCCCAATATATAGGAAGGATTCCCATTTGAATCCAAAGTAAGCTTATCAATATTACTGTGTGATTCAAGTCGATGTTTCAACAGACACAGAGAAAGTGAAAGGTGAACGGTTCTGTAGCAACCTGTTGACACAGTGCCAAAAACAATTATCATTTTAATTATATGACAATGGAATGCTAAAGTTAAAAGCAAAACAGAACCTGGAGCAATAGGAAACGTTGGCCTCTGTGTATGATTGAAGCAGGATGCAGACTAATAGTATACACCCAATAAATTTTTAATGTTTATAGGAAGTGGTTTTTTTTTTTCCAATAGACTAAAACGGGTGTCAAACTCAGTTTCATTGAGGGCCACATCAGGGTTGTGTTTGACCTGGAGGGGCAGGGGAGACATGGTCAGAGGGCTCCTGTGGTGGCCCCAGCACTCTGCCAGCAAAAATGAGCTTTTGAGCTCTGTTTTTGGCTGGGACGGCCTCCGGCAGCTCTCTGCCGGTGCAAATGGAACTCAGGCCTGGTCCTTCACTGTTTCCAGGGCAGCCCCACAGGTGAGCTCTAAGCACCCCGCAGGCTGGATCTGGCCCCGAGCCTTGAGTTTGACCCCCCCTGGCCTAAAAAAAGTCTCTATGCCTGTACATCAGTAGATGGACAACCCTGACATTAAATTGACTATATACTCCGCAAGCAGAAATGGAGAAGCTCATTTAGCAAGAACAAGACCTGGGGCTCACTGCAGTAGTTCAAATCACAAAACCGTTCTTGCCAAAATACAACTCAAACTAAAGAAAATGAGCAAAAAAACAAACCATACCATCAAGGTTCAACTTCAGTAACATTCAATACGATGCATACTGCATCTCTCCAAATAGTTATGTCATTTTGTAACCTTACCACAAATGCAGGTATCTGTTCCTGCCTTTGTCCATGTTGGAAGTTTTCTGATCCAGCCAATGGGACGTGCTCTTCTGTCTTCTTGAAGTGTCCATTTGCTATCTTCAGTCTTGGATGTTTGCCAGAACATTTTATGTGGCATAGCCTCCACTTGCAGGTTTAGGACAAATTCCAGAGGTTTAGTAATGTTGGCTGTGACAGGAAATTACTCAAAATTTCCGCTTCTGGTTCTCCAGAACTGGTCACAATCTGCTGAATACCACCTCTCCATGGAACAGCTTTTGCCTTCAGAAATTGTGGGAGCTTCATCACTTGAGACTTTCAAGAAGAGATTGGACTGCCATTTGTCAGAAAGCGTGTAGGGTCTCCTGCTTGGCCAGGGGGTTGGACTGGATGACCTACAAGATCCCTTCCAACTCTGTTAATCAGTAAAATAGAACATGAATGCGCTTGTACTGTTGTATAGAGAAAATGTCGTGGTTTAATTTATTCCAGAATGATTTCCAAGAAACATTAGATAGACTAAACGATGCAATCAAGCCATCCTTACATGGTTTTGTTTACCATGATTTATGCATATTTAAGGCATAAACTATAGCTTCGACACCACAGTGACTAGTTTCTGGCAAGCTACAACTGACCAAACCTCATTATGGCTTAGTGTGATATATGAACCGGGTCTAAGAGCCAAGCACAGAATCATCCAAAAATGAATCCGTGGCTTCCTTTGAGATCTTCCTGTTTCCAAATCATAATGGGATAAGGAGTTTAATGTGATGTGTGCAAACCCAGTTCTAATCTCCAATTGAAATCTATATATTTCGCACATGTTTTGTGATTTCTGGCACACTTGTGACGACTTCCCAAAAGAAAAAAATGGGGAAGCTGACAGGAAGTTGGAGGTCACACCTCTCCCACTGTTTTTGACTACCAGTTGTTTGTTGTTGTTAGTCACGAAGTCGTGTCCGACCCATTGCGACCCCATGGACAACGTTCCCCCAGGCCTTCCTGTCCTCTACCATCTTCTGGAGTCCATTTAAGCTCATGCCTATTGGATCAGTGACTCCATCCAGCCACCTCATTCTCTGTCATTCCTTTCTTCTATTGCCCTCAACCGTTCCCAGCATTAGGCTCTTCTCCAGTGAGTCCTTCCTTCTCATTAGGTGGCCAAAGAATTTGAGTTTCATCTTCAGGATCTGGCCTTCTAAAGAGCAGTCAGGGTTGATCTCCTCTAGGACTGACCGGTTTGATCACTTTGCAGTCCAGTGACTACTGGTAGTCATTCTATTACCCGTTTAAGTAAATACTGAGTTAATTATTGAAAGATATACTCTTGTTAGATCACAGACCGTCAGCATTGGGTGTGACAAATAAAGTCGGTATAAAATTCAAAATTCCTTTTGGTCACATCAGATTGCACCTACTTTCTCTTAAAGGATGACCCAAGAGGTCACAAGATTGCCTAGTAGCTTATAAAAACATGACAATATTTGCACACCTTACAAACATAGAATCAAGAGAAAACCGACCACAGAAAAAGATTATTGAGTCTGCCCTTTGAGCTTATTTGGGTTTTTAAAAAAAAAAAATTTATTCATTTTATTTAATGATTATTTTTACATTTTATTTATTTTTATCTTAACACTTTTTCAGCTTACTCTTGTTCTACTGCACAAACCGCACTTTTTAAATTTAGAATATGTGGCCTCTGAGTTTTATCATTTGATTATATTACAATGTTCTACTAATTCATAACAATGCCTTGTGGATTGCACGTTGTGCTCTTCAAATCCCTACATGGCCTATTTGAAAGATTGTCTTTTCCCAATTACAGCTACCTGTCCCACCAGAGCAGCCTTATAGCAATAATTCCCAGAGAAGGGAATAAGCAATAGCACGTAGACTTATATACCCTTTCACAGTGCTTTACAGCCCTCACTATGCGATTTATAGAGTCAGCATATTGCCCCCAACAAATTGAGTCCTCATTTTACCCACCTCAGAGGGATGGAAGGCTGAGTCAACCTTGAGCCTGGTGAGATTCAAAGTGCCCAGTTGCAGGCAGCTGGCAGTCAGCAGAAGTAGCCGGCAGTACTGCACGCTAACCACTGCGCCACTGAGGAATGTTACGAGTCCACTCTCTTTAAGGAGATCTATCTGGTGGGGACTATGAAGAAGGGCTGTCTCAGCGGTGGCTCCCTCCCTATAATCATCCCTGCAGAAATAAAATTGGTCCCCACTCTTTGGAAAGACTCGGGAGTGGGATTCAGCCGGTTTGGACCAGTTCGGGCAAACCGGTAGTTCTGGTGATTAGTTGGCCCTGCCCCCTTGCCCCTGCCCTAGTCTGTCCTTTTTGCAGCCTAGCTGATTTGCACGGCACAAGAAGATTGTCGCGCCTCAGCTGTTTTTCTCGCTGGGGCTGCAGCAGAAGATAGAATAGAATAGAATTCTTTATTGGCCAAGTGTGATTGAACACACAAGGAATTTGTCTTGGTGCAAATGCTCTCAGTATACATAAAAGAAAAGATACATTTGTCAAGAGTCAACAATCATAAGGTACAACACTTAATAATAGTTTTAGAGCTGAAAATGGGTGGTTTTTAAACGCTGTGTGCCCGCACAAAATGCACACTCACCACACCGGTTGTTACAGGGTTGAATCCCACCGCTGGAAAGACTCCAAAGACATGATCTTGCCAGCAGGGTGATAATGGAGCCTATCAAATGGTTGGTTTGATTGCTGTCATCAGCGGGGTGAAGACTTAATTGGGTTTTGTATTTGGGGTTTTGTTTCTGTAATCACCATGAGCGAGTTGATTGGCCATATACAGGTGGTCCTCAACTTACAACCGCAATTGATCCCAACATCTATGTTGCTAAGCGAGAAACTTGTTAAGTGTAGTTTTGTCCCAATTTTATGACTCTACCTTGCCACCTTCATGAAGGGAATCATTGCAAGTCTCAAAAACGTTGAGACTCTAGAAAAAGTGCAGAGAAGAGCAACCAGGATGATGAGGGGACTGGAGACTAAAACATATGAGGAACGGTTACAGGAACTGGGCTTGGCTACTCTAGCGAAGAGAGGGACCAGGGGAGACATGATAGCAGTGTTCCAATATTTGAGGGGCTGCCACAGAGAGGAAGGGGTCAAGCTATTTTCCAAGGCACCCAAAGGCCAGACCAGAAATAATGGATGAAAATTGAACAAGGAGAGATTCAATCTGGAAATAAGGAGGAATTTTCTGGCCGTGAGAGCAATCAACCCATGGAACAGAAGTTGCCTTCGGAGCTTCCAGGAGCTTCACTCTGGAAGCTTTCAAGAAGAGATTGGACTGCCATCTGTCAGAAATAGTGTAGGCAGGGTTGGACTAGATGACTTACAAGGTCCCTTCCAACTCTGATTATCTGCTTTCTGTTATCACTTCTTGAATGAGAAACACGGTTGTTAAACAAATCTGGCTTCTCCATTGACTTTTGCTTGTCAGATGGTCGCAAAAAGGGATAACATGACGCTGGGACACTGCGGCCGTCATAAATTTGAGTTAGCTGTCAAGCAGCCAAATGTAATTCATGTAACCATGCAGATGCAGGAACAGTCATAAGGGTGAAAAATGATCATAAGTCCATTTTTTCAGAACCATCGTAACTTTGAATGGTCACTAAATGAATTGCTGTAAGTCGAGAACTACCTGTAAATATTCTTAATAAAAAATAAGTAGGAATATTCAGGCACATCCTCTCATTTATAGCTTTGTTATCTCATTACAACGGTCCTTTTCAAATGTTGACAATATTCTCTCTCTCTCTCTTTCTCTCTCCCTCCCTCTCTCTCCCTCCCTTTCCTGCCCTCCCTGCCTCTTTCTCTCTCTCTCTCTCTCTCTTTCCCACAGCCATATAATAAATGAACTGATAGAAACTGAGCGTGCTTACGTGGAGGAACTTCAGAGCATAATTGAGGTACGTCGAGCGTCTTACAAAATGTGAGCATTGAAACTGAAGTCAAAAGCAGCACAGAGGTTGCTTCTCCTCAGAAGTTTCAGTAAAACTATCTGGTTTTATTGGTGAAAGTAATGTGGACCTGCATACTTGCTTTTTAAAAGTGGCACCTCAACCTTCATGCATTTATCCTCTCATCTATCACATGATTCTTTGTTTTTGCAAAAGTTCAAGTCCCAAATATGGCTAGGACAACCTCTGCTTCAAAATCATAAAATAAACGTGTTAATAAGTAAATGTATTTATTTATGGAAGCGATGCTTCTGGTGTCCCATGTTAAATGATTGAATTCTGGGAGTTGAAGTCCACACATCTGAAAATTGCTGATGTTAAGAAAGACTCATCCTAGACCCGTGATGGGGAACCTATGGCATGCAAGCTGCAGGCAAACTTACCTCATGCGCGTGCCTCACAGCTAATTTTTGGCCGATTTGAGGCCTTTTTCGGCCTCCCAAAGGCTCAAGGAAGGCTTCTGCAGGCTTTGGAGGCCAAAAACTAGCCCTGTTTCGTCACTTCTTGTTTTTCCGAAAATACCAGAAGTGACAAAACGGGGCTAGTTTTCGACCTGCAAACCTGCAGAAGCCTTCCTCGAGCCTCTGGGAGGCCGAACAAGGCCTCAAACTGGCCGAAAATCAGCTGTGAGGCACAGTGCAGGTAAGGGTGGGGGGTGGGGGGGTGGAGATGCATGCATTGCCTTCTGGGTGCTGGCATGCGAGCGTGAGTGTGCAAGCACGCACACAATTTTTGGCACAGGAGCCCCAAAAGGTTAGCCACCACTGTTCTAGGCAACGTCTGGAATTCAAAGCCAGCAGGTTGATAGGGAATACATGATGAAAAATGAGAAAACAGGCAAATTTGGTTATATTATGAAATGACTACAGGTAGTAGAATTCATAACTTTGAGTTTCAAAATCTGGATTACTTTGGTGCAGAATTTATCTAACTTTGAGTTCAAAGGGAAGGCCTGGATTTAACATTTCTTAAGCAATCTTAGAATGGAAAAACTGACTGGAGGTGCAAGAAGAAGATACTTCTCTGCTTCTGCTATTTTACTCATTGCTCATGGTTTGGTTCCCCTCTCACTGTTCTTTTCTCTTAAATAGGGCTATGCATCAGAAATGGACAACCCTGCTTTAATTCACTTGATCCCAGCTGTAGTTTTGAACAAGAAAGAAGTTCTTTTTGGAAACCTCTCAGAAATCTATGAATTTCATAACAGGTTTGTGGTGGGACTCCGAATGCAGCTATAAAGTGTTTCTTTGAAGGACGTGTCTTTTAGAGGCCATAGAACATCAGTCCTAATCCTAAACTTAACTACACTGACTGCAATCTATGGACTGCAACAACTGGCTTCATGCAATATTTTTAAAATAAGGAAATAATATATCTGAATATTTTAAAGCTCACAATGGATTGTATGTAACATCTACATATGGTCATTATGACTTTCAAACTTTAGTTCTTAGTTTTCCTTTTGCAACCATATAGACCTGAGGGTCATTCAAAAAAGCTTTTTGCATGGAAACAAATTTCACCAGATAATTTAGTGAAAGGTCCAGACAACCTGTGTTTTCATTTCCAACTAAATCAAATATAAAATAATATGTCATTTTACAACCAATGTGTGCATGACTAACTTTCTGGGTCTGCCAACAATGTACTCTGGAGTGAGAATAAGGCTGGCATTGCTGCACTTGAGAACTTGACCTGCTGAAAAGAATATTTGTAGCTCAGGTGCATTGATGATGTTACCTAGTTTGGTAATGAAACGTCTGCACGAAAACAACCAAGGACCCAATAGAACTATCTAAATGAGACAGCAGCAACTAGCAATCTTAAACAGAAACTCTGTTTTTCTCAGTCACGTGACTTCGCTTGGCATCCATTTTGCTGGAATTGTGTTTGCTAAACAGACTGCCTACATTTTCCAAAGTAGTGCAAAAATAATTGAAATTATACTCCGCAGACCTCCATTAATCTTACTTGCTAGGGGACGTTGTAGCTTAAATTCAGGGGAAGTCCTCACTGAAGGACCACTTTTAAACTTTTGCTGTCATTTTGTGTCCATTCCAGAATCTTCCTCAAAGAGCTGGAAAACTGCATAGAAAAACCTGAGCTTTTGGGTCGGTGCTTTTTAAAAAGAGTAAGTGAATCGCAGTGTTTCTTTTAATCTGGTTTCTTAATGGTCTTCTGATTGACTTCCTTTTGCATTTGATATTCTTTTCAGGCTGGACTTTCAGTGGGCAGCCAAATGAGAAGTCATGTGAGGTTAAGAAACTTGCTTGGGCAGTTAACAAATAATCAAAGACATAAAAGAGGTCATTTTTTTGTTCCAGTTAGTTAGGCAGGACAATAGGCAGGACAATACTAGAGTTTTTCATTGTCCCACATCTTTCCATTTCCATCTTTCATTCTCCCCCTCACAACTTGAGAAACATAACTTGAGAAACAAAAACAAGTAATCCTTGATTTATGACCGATTGCTTAGTGACTTACGATGGACCCAGAAAAAAGGGACTTATAACCCAGATTCAAACTTTCAATGTTTGGGCCACCCCCACAGTCATGAGTGCTTAACATCTGGTCTGCATTACGGCCATTTGCAATATCTTTCAATCATAATTGGTGGTGCAGTGGTTAGAATGCAATGGAGTGGAGTCTGCTTCTGCCGGCTGCCTGCAATTTGGCAGTTCTAATCTCACCAGGCTCAAGGTTGACTCAGCCTTCCATCCTTCCGAGGTCGGTAAAATTGAGGAGCCAGATTGGGGGCAAATATGATGACTCTGTAAACCACTTAGAGAAGGATGTGAAAAGCTGTGAAGTGGTATATAAAACTCGTAAGTGCTATTGCTATTTATTATTATTTTTATTAAATTATTCACCGCCCATCTCATATTGAAACAACTCGATTTAAGTTATTTTGACCAGAAGCTAACATTTACTTCCAGCTTCAACCCCCCAAAAGTACCTCATAGTGCAGGGGTCCCCAAACACTGGGCTGCGGCACACTAGTAGCCCGTGAGGTGTTTACAACCAGGGCGCGGAAATGGTGTGCTGAATTTGCTTGCACAAATGGAGCTCCTCACACAGAACAATCCCCTCCTCCACCCTCGATGTCCCACAAAGCCAGAAAGATTGGGGAAGTCTGCCCTAGTGAATAATGGCTTTGTTTAACAATGGAGGCATTTGCATTACGACCACCATATTTGCTTAACGATCACCACAAAAAAAGATTGTAAAATTGGGCATGGTCCTGTGGCGATCCGCTTTACAACCGTCATGACTTACAACTGAAATTGAGGGCTCCATTTATGAGCATAAGTGTAGGACCACCTGTACCAGAATAGGAAAAAGAGAAAGCATTTTGAAATTAAAAAAAAAATGTGTAAGGACAAATGTGACAATTGGATAATAGTAAGAGCACACCTAGAATACTACATCCAGTTTTGGTCACCACACTATAAAAAAGATGTTGGAGACTCTAGAAGGAGTGCAGAGAAGAGCAACCAAGATGATTAGGGGACTGGAGGCTAAAATATATGAAGAATGGTTGCAGGAACTGGGCATGGCTAGTCTAGTGGAAGTCTAGAGCGAAGTGTGCTCTCACAGAACTGGTTGTTAAATCGGTTGCAGCCCACCACTGAGCAACTGTCTTAGCTAGTTAAAAGAAATACTGGCAAAGAATAACCACCTGAACTATAATGGCATATTTCACAAATGTTTAAAGTCAGGGGTGGGATTCTACCGGTTCGGGCGAACCGGATGTTAAATTTGTACCTGGTTTGCCGAACCGGTATTTGAACCGACTGGCTGGCCCTGCCCACCCCGCCCCTCCCAGGCCCTCTCCACGTGGCCCATTTTCAATGCAGGTAAGCGTGCAGAGGATCTAGGAGGGGGAAAAACAGGCCTTCCGGAAGTCCAGAAACGGGCCTGTTTCTGGCTTCTGGAGGGCGTCCAGAGCCGGGGGGAGCACGTTTTCACCCTCCCAGACACCTGAGGCATCCCTTTTTGATGCAGGTTTGACCCCCTCTTTTTTGTGGCAGCCCTATAGATATTGGAAGGTTGCTATCACGTTATCCCTAGTCCTTCTTTTCATCAAACTAAGCATGCTCAATTCTTGAAACCCTTCCTCATGTGTTTTATCATCCAGTTCCCTCATCATCTTTGTTGCTCTTCTCTGCACTCTTTCTAGTCTCAACATCTTTTTTATATTCTGGTAACAAAACTGGATACAGTATTCCAAGTGTGGTCTTAGCAAGGCATTATAAAGTGATATTAACACTTCATGTGATCTTCATGACATTGGTTTCACTAATGACCCGTGGGACAATTCAAACCTATACAGAGTACCATGAATAGACAAGGACAGTCAAGTGGATTTTGAAGTTGTGCTTTTGGGAGTTGAGTCAACCAAGCGCCAGGCCTAAGGGCTTTAGAGGACGTGGTGAAAATGCAGTTAAATCACTAGAGCAGCCAGGAATAAACTCTTAGCTATTTTGGAGACTGGGAGAGTTTCAATGAAACTCCAGATGTGGTACCTAAATATCATCGAGGTTGTAGAAAGAAATGCACATTCCTCAAATTATATTCTGTTTGGTTTTGGCTTCTCAATGGCTTTAAAAAGTCCTGGTTTTAGCATGATTCATAAGCCTAAAGCTAAGTTTGGTCTTAAAAATATGAAGTCTGCAATAAATGTGATGCTAAGTTACAAAAGAAGAGGTTTGCCCATTCTGGCAAATTTATTTGGGGTGAAAGCTTCTCCTTTGGATAGGTTGATTGACATGATTCAACACTGATGTCCTTTGTATTGCAGAAAGAAGATCTTCAGATCTATGAAAAATATTGCCAAAACAAGCCAAAATCGGAGGCTCTTTGGAGGCATTGTGGAGACAGCCTTTTTTTCCAGGTAGGCTCCAGAAAACGAACCAACTGAAACACCGTTGTTCTCCTTGGTTAGAAGATCCAACACCAGGCAACGGGTTGGCCTAAATCAGTGTTTCTCAACTTGGTGGCCATTTTAAGGCCTTTGGACTACAAATCCCAGAATTCTGGGAGTTAAAGTCCACGCATCTTAAAGTAGCCAAGGTTGGGAAACAATGACGTACGTGATCTCTAAACTCCTTTTCAACGTTGTGGTTCTATGTGATCTGTTGCATTAATATGCTTACTAACTCACCAAAGCACCTAGCTGCCAAATAATATGGATTGATTGAAAGCATCAGTATTTTCCTCTCAGTGGGGGCACTTCCGCACAAGTGCAGAGCTCTGTCTTTTAATCTGTATTTAATTACTGCTTTGCTTAGATTTATTTATTAATTTTCCAGTAGCTCAAGTAAGCTTATTTGTTTATAGATTTTGATGTATGAGGCTGCGCTAAAATTACCCAATCCCCTATGGTTGAACCTGGGCTTCTTGGATGCTAATGTAACACCCTATCCACCGCTCCTTATTACAAGCCTTTATGGCTGCCATCTTGGGGCTTCAGTGGATGAAGGAGGAGGAGAAAGAATTGTTTAGTGGGCTACAACAGGAGTAGAAAAATCAGTACTTCTGCCATTGACCTTCTCTGTTTACTTCCCCACTATACAGATAGTCCCCAACTTACGACCATAACAGATCCTGAAATTTCTGTTGCTAACCAAGACGATTGTTGAGTGAATTTTGCCCCATTTTATGACCTTTCTTGCCACAGTTGTTAAGTGAATCACTGCCGTTGTTAGTAACACAGGTTGTTAAGTGAATCTGGCTCCCCCATTGACATTGCTGGTCAGAAGTTCGCAAAAGGGGATCACATGACTTCGGAGACACTGCAACCATCATAAATATGAGTCAGTTGCCAAGCATCTGATGCTGCAGTGACCATAAGTCATTTTTTTCAGTGCTGTTGCAGCTTTGAATGGCCACTAAACAAATGTTCGTAAGTGGAGGACTACCTGCATGGCCCAAAGCACACAAGCACCACAGTGGTGGGATTCTAAATTTTTTATTACTAGTTCTGTGAGCGTGGCTTGGTGGGCGTGGTGTCGCTTGGTGGGTGTGGCTTGGTGGGTGTGGCAGAGGAAGGATACTGTAAAATCTCCATTCCCTCCCAACTCCACTAACCTGATTTCCAGCTCCGTTCTCCTGTGTAGGGCAACAAAAGGAGACCCAGCCAATAGCTGGGACTTGGGAGACAGACAATAGATGGGGGCAGAACCAGTCAGAGGCGGTATTCTGAACTACTCAAAATTTCTGCTACTGGTCCTCCAGAACTGGTCAGAACCTGCTGAATACCACCTCTGAACAACCACTATTCTTTCAGAATATGCTGTCACGATATGGGTTCTCCGTATCTTTCCATTTCTTTCCCTTTCAAATTTAGTGTGCCTGTTTAAAATAATTTAGAAATGTCCATTCTATTAAAGGTTCCACTTCAAGGTTCAACAAACAGCCGTGCCAGAACTGACTTATGTGTTTCTCGAGGAAGAAAATAATAAAGCTCAAACAAGGTTGTTATAATTTGTGGCAGGCTCCATTGTTGTTAACGCCAGGCTCTGTTACATTAATAACCACCTGTAACAAGAAGGATGGAGAATGAATTGCAGGATCCAATTTTGGTCTGTCATGGAGATCCATAATTTAGTCTTCCAAGCTTTCAAACCCGTGTTGGAAACCATCCTCTCTACTGGAATGTAGAGGGAATATACTGTATTTATGGAAACACAACAGTTGCTGGAATTGGGTGTGTCTAGTTTAAGGAAAAGAAGGACTAGGGGTGACCTGATAGCAGTCTTCCAGTATCTCAGGACTGCCACAAAGAAGAAGGAGTCAAGCTATTCTCCAAAGCACCTGAAGGCTGCACAAGAAGTAATGGATGGAAACTAATCAAGGAGAGAAGCAACTTAGAACTAAGGAGAAATTTCCTTTCAGTGAGAACAATTAACCAGTGGAACAACTTGCCTTCAGAAGTTGTGGGTGCTTCCTCACTGGAGGTTTTTAAGACGAGATTGGATAACCATTTGTCTGAAATAGTAGAGGGTCTCCTGCCTGGGCAGGGGGTTGGTCACTTCTAACTCTGTTATCCTATTCTAGATAGTTGAATGAGTTGCTTCTGAATATTATCTTGTTTTCCAGGAGTCAAATAATGTTTAAGGTCCCCTAACTTATATTATGGTCCGTGCATATTTCTAACAAGGTCACCTCCCTTACTCTTTAATCCTACGTAGCTTCTTCTCTGGTAATATCACACTACTAACTAGAGCATACAAAACATTTGCTAGACCTATACTTGAATACAGCTCATCAGTCTGGAACCCATATCATGTATCTGATATTAACACAATTGAAAAAGTCCAGAAATATTTCACAAGAAGAGTTCTCCGCTCCTCTACTCACTGCAGAATACCTTATGCCACCAGACTTGAAACTCTAGACCTAGAAAATCTAGAACTACGCCACCTCTAGTCCGATCTAAATATAGTATATAAAATCATACTTTGCAATGTCCTACCTGCAAATGAATACTTCAGCTTTAATCATAACAATACAAGAGCACACAATAGATACAAACTCAAGGTTAACCGCACCAAACTTGACTGCAGAAAATACGACTTCAGCAACCGAGTGGTCAATGTTTGGAATACTCTACATGACTCTGTGGTTTCTTCCCCAAACCCCCAAAACTTTAACCTTAGACTGTCTACTATTGACCTCACCCCTTTCCTGAGAGGCCTGTAGGGGGTGTGCATAAGTGCACCAATCGTGCCTACCGTCCCTGTCCTATTGTTTTTTTGTATTTTTCTTACAAGTATCTATCTCATGCATTCAAAACTATATTTATTCTTATACCTGTATCTTGTAAGCGATTGACAAATCAAATAAATGCTAAATACTTTATAAGAAGATTATTACATTCTGCTAGAGAGAAGTTCCCTGAGGATGGGCTCCAGCACAAATCCAAAAGCTTGGAAGACTAAACCTCTGGTCCCAGTGACCGACCATCATTGGACCCTGCAACATTGTCCTGGGACACGTATATTTGCCTTTGTTCATGAGAGATTGAATTGCTAATGCCACCAAGACTGTCCAGTAGCTGCCTGAACTATCCTCTGGCAAACACACTATACATGTTCATGGCCGGAACAATGGAAGTTCCAGAAGAGGAGAACAAAGCACATTTGAGTGTCAGCAAAATGAATGATCTTTGCAAGTTAGCATCCGAGTCTCTTTGCAGGAAAGGAATGGCAGTTGGACGTTTACTGTGCTGAAAGAGAGACAGATCACTCAGATGAACTGCTATATATTTTTTTTCTTTTTTGTAGAAAGTCAATGTGAACTTCTGGTGACTGTGTTTGGGGAAACCCCTGCAGTTTTCTTGGTAACCTTTTCAAAAAATGGTTCGTTCTTGCCTTCTTGTTAGGGCTGACAGAGAGTGACTGGCCCAAAGTCACCCAGGTGACTTTGAATCTAAGCTGGGATTAGAACTAAAGTTCTCCTGGTTCTAGTCTGATTATCTTTAACTGCTACATCAAACTGGCTCTCATATTACGCATCAGTGTATTTTTTTTGTACCAATGTATTTTTTTTTTTGTGCTATTTGTCAATGGAGATTCTCAGTCATCCAGGTCATGGTTGTCCCAAAGATGCTTTTTTTCAAAAGGCAACTGGATTCCATTTTTTCTTGAAGTCATTTCGCTCCTCACCCAAGAAGCATCCTCAGTTCTGACTGAATGCTGGGGAATGGAAGGATTTATATGTCAACCCTGAAGCTGACCTGACCAGAGCCATTTTGAGGCTTCAGTGTTGTCACAGTGGATCTGAGGGATAGGCAGCGGAGTGGAATTTAAATAGCTGGGGTTTTTAGCCAAAACAAAACACTTTCTCCTGGGAACCAAGGACATTTCTACAGGTGGCCAGATGAAGGAGGGGCAACCAGATGGCACCCTGATTGGACCATGTGACTGATTGTTTGCAAAAAGGGGGGAAACTTTTACCTTTAATAAGGTGAAAACCACGGCAACATTCAGAGTCGGTTTTCACCAGATCGTGCCAATATGATATATCCAACAAAACTATTATTTGAGGAACCTACCTGCCTTGGAGTTCCGTTTGCTATGGGCGTATTACTTGGAACCCTGACATTATATCCTTTGCAGTCACCTGGTTGTTAGCACTTTGAAGTTGGTTCATTGGCTCTTTAATTCCCCAGCATTCAGTCAGAACTGAAGATGCTTCCTGGATGAGAAGCAACACCTCTTCAAGAAAAAAGGTCCACTTGCCTTCTGAATAAGATCAGTGGGACAGTGTGCTGTTTGTTTCCTAATACCATCTAATCTCCCTAAGACATACAAATATATATATATTTTTGTAAGACCCAACCCTCTTTTTTATAATTGACCATGGGCTAACCAAGACATTGGGCTTATAAAAGCAAAAACGATTTTTAGCTTTTTTAAAAAAAAGTTACATTTGTAATTTCGTTCTTAGTGTACCCTGTTAGACCAGAATAACCTCATTCTCTCTTTTTTTCTTACTTTTGTTTTGTTTTGCAGGAGTGTCAGAGGAAATTAGACCATAAACTCTCCCTTGATGCTTATCTTTTAAAGCCGGTCCAGAGGATTACCAAATATCAGTTGCTTCTGAAGGTAAGAGAATGGCTTATCTGCTAATAAAAGTAACATATTTTTGCAGTTCTTAATTGCACAAGAGGGTGACTGTTCAGTCCATTCTAAAATTGGGTTGATGCTGAGCGTGGGGTGGGGTGGGGAAGCAAATGAATGCAGCAGAAACAGAATAAGGGAGTTGGAAGGGACCTTGGAGGTCTTCTAGTCCAACCCTCTGCTCTAGCAGGAAACCCTATACCAGGGGTGTCAGATTCTATTTCATTGAGGGCCACAGCTCAGGGGGAGGGGTGGTCAGTGGGCGTGGTTGAGGTGGGCGTGGCCAGCTCGACACCCTATAGCTCTGCCAGCGAAAATGGAGTTCAGGAGAGACTCCTGGGCTCCGTTTTTGCTGGCGGAGGGCTGCAGGAGGCCATCGCAGCCAAAAACAGCGCTCCTGAGCTCCATTTTTGCTGGCAGAGGCACCGCGGGCCAGATCTAATCACTCTGCGGGCCAGATCCGGTTTGACACCCCTGCCCTGTACCATTTCAGACAAATGGTGGTGTTCTGTATCTGGTTTGGGCAAAAAGATCCCATGGCAAACAATGGGTTTAACAACTGAGGCAAAAAGGGGTGTAAAATCAGGTCTGGTCACATGATTATCTGTTTTATAACCTTCTCAACTCCTATAATAGGCAGGCTTCATTGTGGTCGTAGGATGAGGAGTCCCTTTATTTCATGATATTAAATGATATTTAATGATATTAAATAAACTTGTATACAACATTCTTTTCTTTCCTTTCTTGGATTGTGTACTAATCAAGAACGGATTGACAAAAACAACCATTTTTCTTCCACGTAAGGATGTCAACATTCGGCAGCATTTTAAGGCCTTGTGATGTGACATTTGCTTTTTTTTTTTTTTTAATTCCCTTTACAACCAGGAAATGTTAAAATGCAGCAAGAATTCAGAAGGCACTGCCGAACTGGAAGAAGCTCTCGCAACAGTTCTTGATATCATCAAGTCGGCAAATGATTCCATGCACCAAATAGCAATTACAGGCTATGAGGTAGGCCTTGCCCCCCCACCACACGCACACAAAAGCAATGTGCTAAACCTTAGCAGAATCTTTAAGATAAGTTGACTCCCAACTCCCAGAATTCCAAATGCTGGCTGGGGAATACTGGGAATTAAAGTCCATGCATTTTAAACGGTGTCATAAAAATATCCCAATAAAAGAGGAACACAGACAGACCACAAACAATAATTCTTACTTAAAGATTCAGAGGTTTATTTCATGAGCAATTTGAAACATGAATAGCCATCCTAACATTACTTCCATCAATCATTGCAATGAGATCCAGTGACATATCCAGCAAGGAATAACTACGGCCAGTGGCCCCGAACTCATCCCAAGGCATTCTTTTTATACTTTTCTGAACACATTTCACAACTTACTTCCTGTCTTACTGACAGACAATCTCCAAATACATCCATCTACATCTCAAACCTCTACCCACTGGCTACTTTCACTTCCTTATTTCTCGTGGTTTCGTCCTTCTGTATTCAAATATATTTATAAAGCTATATACTTTGCAATATCATGTGTCACAATTAGCAACAGCTCAGCAGGATTACAAATAGTTCTGGTGCATTTGAAATCATCCTATATAAAACTTGGGGTTCATGTCTCTCTATTCTGGGGCCTGCTATCATCCAAAGGTCTTACTGAATCTTGATAGATCAATAACTTATATTTTTGTTTTCCACAAGGGCCTAAGTTTGAGAAACATGGTGATAATGTATGTTGTTAAACTCTTTCAAACAAAGGAGATTCTTGAAATCTTGCTGTTTTAATAAGGATATTTCAGGCCTCCATCAGTTTTCCTTAACCACACTCTCTCCGAGTATCGTGGAGCTCTGATTCTGAGAATTTCAAACAATATCTAGAAGGTGCCACATTATGAAAGACAGTCTTGGATTGTCTTTTCCCAGAAAAATAGATTAATGAGCAAAAAAAAAAAGAGTAATGGTAAAATAACTTCACGCTTGCCAGCACTTAAAATCTCTAAATAGAAACAATTCTTGGCTCCATTTATTTAGAAAGGTATAATTTTACTAGAAGTCAAGTGTATTGTACTCAAGTGTATTGTATTAGAAGTCAAGTGCATTGCATAGCCAGAACTGAGAATTGTGCACCAAAATCCCTAAGATAAACTCCCCCCGCTACTTACCTGTCTCCCATCACTGAACCCTTCCATGTTCAATCGGGTTCAAGCGGGATGTTTTTAGTTCAAGTGTAGGTTGGTATGCAACTACCTTTTTCTCCTAGCCAGATAACCTTGAGGCAGCTTCCCAGGGAGATACAGTACTTTCATTTTCCCCCAAGCATCCCTGTCTCCCTTCGCAGAATTCCTGGCAGACTGTCACCTGGTAGCAAAGCATAAGTAAGCATAAGGTGGCAGCTGAGAAATAACCGGAATAGCAAGTTGTGTTCCAGATGCTTCCAGATATTAAATTCATTCAAGCCAACCAGTCTTACTATTCTTTCAAGATCAAGATAATACTACTACTTTATAGCCTTCTTAAACCCTTTGCTTGCTTGTTAGCTTCTCCTTTCCTACCCAGTGTCTCCATTTCTTCTCCAGTGGATCTGTCTTAATCAGTGTCAGACGTAAAGAATCGGGACCATTCGTAAGGTTGCAATATGAACAATTTATTGCGGCCTATACACAAGTATCCAGTCAACTGATGGTCAGCTCTAAATTGGTGCGAGATAAGGTTCAATGGAATTCAAAGGAGACTGGACTTGGATCTCTTGTGGCAACACAAGGATTCTAAACTGATAACATGCTTAATTCTGCCCTCTAGTTCTGCCTGCTCTTCTCTTACAAACAGTTGCTCATTGCTATTCACAGACCTTGCCCCCATAGCAGGCAGTCCTTCAGCACCCCCAGAGCAGAGTGTGTTTCTGAGTGTCCACCATCTGAATTGCCCCAGAATGTCCATATGCATCTTAGACAACAATAAAGATAACGGCAGCCATTTTGCTTTAACCTATCCTTTCCCACTTTGAATAAATAAATATCCAGCTAAAAAAAACTAAATGATAATAGGACACTACACTGACTGCACTGATGTCTTTAGACACCCCGTTGCTGTGACACAGACTTTGGTCTACTGCGTGACAGAACGAACACTACTCTGGAAGTTTCTGTATTTATGCAGTTTAAACCCTGGTAGGTGGTTTTTTTTTTTTAAAAAAATGGATTGGTTATTGCTACCAGAACAAAAAATCTTGTCCGGATATACTGTGTATTCATTTTGGAGACTCCAGCTTTGAATGACTGAACAGCTTACATTTTAAAAGCAAGAATAATTTATCTTCCTCTGTAATCCCTTAATGTTTGTTCTTGCTTTTAAAATGTAAACTGAATCATTTTGGAGTCTCCAAAATAAATAAATAAAAACACAGAGGGACAAGATTTTTTTTTGGGTAGCAATAAAGTACTTACAATCTGACATAACAACTACTCCTTAGCAACTATTCAAAGTTATGATGCAAAGTTATGAGACAACCCAGTTCCAAAGTTTTGATGGCCTCCCTTCTAGTCATGTGACCTCATTTAGGGCGCTTAGCAAACGGCCTGCATTGATGGCTGCATTTATGGTTTGCAGCATCCCACGATCACATGACCTCAATTCAGGGGTGGGATTCTACTGGTTCTGACCAGTTTGGGTGAACCGGATGTTAAAGTAACAGCTGGTTTGCTGAACCGGTATTTCAAATGACCAGCTGGCCCTACCCATCCCCTCCCAGGAGTCTCCACGTGGCCCATTTTTGATGGAGGTGATTGCAAGGTCCACACAGAGGCTCGGGTGGGGGGGAAACAGGCTTTCTGGAAGTCCAGAAACGGGCTTGTTTCCAGCTTTCAGAGAGCCTCCAGAGGCCGGGTGAGGCTGTTTTTGCCCTCCCAGAGGCCCAGGGAAGGCCTCTGGACCCTTGAGAAGGTGAAAATGTCCTCCCCCGGACTCTGGGCTTCCACCGGAAGCTGGAAACAGGAAGTTCTGGTAGGCCACCCCCACCATGGCCACGCCTACCCAGCAACCGGGCAGCAAACTGGTTGCTGGGGTTTTTGAATCTCACCTCTGCCTCAATTTATAACTTTTTCACTGAAAAATTGCCCCAGAGCGAACAGTGGGTTTGCTTCACAACTGCAGCAACCAAGAGGTCGTAAAATTAAGTCGCTCATGTAAGGACACCCTTTACAATTGTCATGACTTACAACTGTAAGGCTCCATTACAGTCATAAGACAGGAGTATGGAATTGTACTGTGGCTAAGAAAGTTGGTGTGGGGTGAAGGGGTGTGTGGAGTGAAAGGCTGGAATTAAAACTTTGCTTTATTCTTGTATTTCTCCTGTCCTGTTTCTCTTTTCCTCTAGGGAGATGTAGCCGAGCTGGGTAAATTGCTCCTTCAAGGCTCTTTCAATATTTGGACCGATCACAAGAAGGGGCACAACAAAGTGAAAGATTTGGCCAGGTTCAAGCCAATGCAGAGGCACCTCTTCTTATATGCAAAAATCCTCCTTTTTTGCAAGAAACGGGAAGAAAACACAGACAGTCACGAGAAATCTCCTTCCTACAGCTTTAAAAATTCCTTGAAGGTAAATCATTTCTTATGTTGGAAGGGAGGGAAGTTTAAAATCAAAGGATGAACCAACATCAACACCTCTATGAGCGGAGATTAAAATCAAAATTAACACTGGCCAGTGTTAATTAAGAAGTAAACAACGCCCAAATCAAGGAAGTACCAACACAGATAAACAAGCTAACCACAAACAACATCCTAATTAAGGGACCACCAAAACTATCAGGGCAAACCACTAGTATATAAGATTAAGAGCAGAACACGCTCCCTTGTATCACTGATGATGCTACCTAGTTTGGTAGTGAAATGTCTGCAAGAAAGCCACCAAGCTTAAAGAGCACCAAGGACCCCACAGAACACCTTTAAATCAACAAGTATATCAAAATAATAAAACAATGCATTGAAACAAACGTAACACTGGTTCTTTTCTTGTAAAGAGTTGCAGGCGGAACAGCTCTCATGTTTTAGAGAAGGAAGCCTTGGAGATTTCGTTGACTTTCATAATGTTTTTTTTATCTAATAATAAAGTACTGTTTTGCTAGTGCGAATAGACTCTAAAGGAAGGTTGCCTGGGGAGGATTTGTATCTTGAAATATGCCCATCAAATTAACAGCATCAGGCAATTAAAAGAAATCATTTTCAAATTAAATTCTCTAGATTTCCAGCACTACCTGGGCTCAATTGAAAATTTCCCTCCGAGGCTTTCCATCTCCTTGGTTAATTCTGATGGCTCATTCTAAAAACAGGGAAGTAAATTCTAGTGTTGGGTCTCCCTCTTAACCCAAAGGTGCTTTTTCAAGAGGCAACTGAACTTTCTGATTTTTCTTTGAAGGCATTTCACTTCTCGTCCAAGAAGCTTCTTCATCTCAGAGCGTCTTCAAAAAAAGTCTAGTTGCCTATTGAAAAAGCACCTTTGGAACAACCATGACCTGGATGACTGAGACTTTCCATAGACATTTCCCTCTTTTAAAAAAATCTTGTTTTCTTAGAGAAGGAGTAGTGGCACACTGGTTAGAAAATAATATTGCAGGCTAATTATGCTGACTGCCAGGAATTCGATCCCTTTGGTCTTGATCAGCTCAAGGTTGACTCAGCCTTTCATCTTCCAAGGTTGGTAAAATGAGGAGCCAGATTATTGAGGGCAATATGTTGACTCTGTAAACCACTTAGAGAAGGCTGTAAAGCACAATGAATGGTATTTGTTTAAGTGCTATAGCTATTGCTATTTAATTTCCCTGTATCCATTGGTGAGCTTTATGTATACAGTAAGATTATTTACACTCATCAATTGAGCTACCAAGGAAAACAAACTTGAAAATGTTTTTTCTTGGCAAACTTGATGAATCAATTGTCAGATAAAGATATGGCCTCATTCTGTTTCCTCGTAAGGACAAAACTACTCAGCAATTTCTTCACTTATCCTAGAATTTCAAGAGTGTTCATTTGTCAACCAAAGTCAAGGATAGATCTTTTCAAGCCAGGTTCAAAGGAATCATGACAATGGTAAATTCAACTATTGCCCTTGTGGAACAGTTTCTGTATCAAGAGGAAAAAGCTGTGTACCAAAAAAATATATATTAGTTTTTCCAAACTTTATAAAAGACAAGCTCATTTATAAATAGGGGAAAAAAATGCACTGATACAGGAGGCAGACTATATGGCTTGACTCTAATCCTGGAAATAAAATTGCAGATGGATTCAAAACTTAAAACGCTAAAAGACAAAAATGAATTGAGCGTGAATATCTTAGAAATGCGAGATGGAAATAAGAGAATAACATTTATTACAGACAAAGACCAACTTATGCAGATACAGCATAGCTTGGCAATATTATATGTGAAAAAGATCTTGGAACAGCAATCTGAATATGAGTCAGAAACGTGATGCCATTAAAAAAAAAAGAGCAAATTTAACTTTAGGCTTCATCAACACAACATAGTTTCCAAATGATGGGAAATCATGATTCCATTTAATTGATCAGATCTCCCTCCTTCAGAATTGTGTCCATTGCTAGCAGCACACTTTAAGATGGATTCAGACAAACAAGCTTTAGATAATGGCAGTGAAGATGACCAGTGGACTGAAAAGTAAGATCTATGAAGGAATTGAAGGAATTAGGAAGGACAAGAGAAGATGGAGTTGGATGTAATACTACTCTGGCCAAGAGCAGATAGCTGCCAGATTACACTTCAAATAGAATCTGGAATAAACATATTTCTCTTCACTTTTCATCCTTTTTTTTTTAAAGGTGGGATCATCCTTGACACTCTATCAGGCTCCCATTGCATTCTGGTTTTAACCTAATTGCTTCTTTATTGCATTTATATTGCTGCCAAACATTTTGTTTAACCCTCCGTGAGTCTCTTCTCGCAGAAACTTCATAGGTTTTGTGGTTTACAATTTATATCCTCGTGGCTTTGAATTCTAGATATAAAAGAACAAGAGAATGTCTGCAGAAGGATTCCGCAGTAGACGATAATGAAGTGGAAATCAAGCCATCCACACTGAGAGGAATGTCATTTTCTTACATTTTAGTGGATTCAACATTTTGTTCAGTAGTTAGTTCATGTCCAACTCTTTATGACCCCGTGGACCATAGTATGCGAGGCCCTCTGTTCTTCACTGTCTCCCAGAGTTTGCCCAAATTCCTGTTCATTGCATTGATGACACCATCTAATCCTCTCATCCTCTGCCACCCCTTTCTCCCTTTGCCTTCCACCTTTCCCAATATTGAGATCTTTTCCAAGGACTCCTCTCTTCTCATTGGGTGGCCAAAGATTTGAGCTTCCGTATCTGTCCTTCCTAAGGGTTGGTTTCCTTTAGGATGGCTCAATTCATTATTCTTGCAAAGAAGACTCTCACGAACCTTCTCTGACATCACAATTTGAAAGCAGGATTCAACATTCTTTTATTGTATTCTCCCTAACTTAAGCGAGGTTGAACCTCTGCTTGGCAGGTGCTTGAAAATTTAGCATCTTCGTGACTTCTGTATTGCTTCTGTATTATCTGTGATGCAAGGAGTGAGTGTAGTTAACAAGCAACAATCCCTGTGCCTTCCCACTGCTTCCCCCAGCCCACAGGACTGAATGCAAACTCTGGACAAAGTTAAAATATCACCCTGCCTTATGTCTATGGAGATTCTCAGTCATCCAGGTCATGGTTGTCCCAAAAGTGCATTTTCAGAGCTGAAGAAGATTCTTGGATGAGAAGTGAAGTGTCTTCAAAGAAAAAACAGAAAGTGTTTATAAGTAACCCAAGGTGGTGAACATACATAATAACCTTCCTTCTCCTATTTTCTCCATATCAATAACCTTTTGAGGAGGATTGAGTTGGAAGAGAGGGACTGGTCCAAAGTCACCAAGACAGCTTTCATGCCTAAAGCGGGACTACAACTCATAATCTCCTGGGGATTGGCCCAGAGTCATTGTGGGCCTCTGGTTGATTGGCCCAAAGTCGCCCATCTGGCTATCATGCCTTAGGCAGGACTAGAACTCACAGTCTCCTTGTGATTGGTTCAAAGTTACCCAAGTGGTTTTCATGCCTAAGGCAGGACTAGAACTCACAATCTCCTGATTTCTAGACCAGCATCTTAACCGCTATAGGAAACTGGCTCATGTACTTTAAAGATGAACTAAAAAGAACAAAATGTATTGCAATGACCAATGATTGTATTCTCTATTCAAACTTTTCTTTCAAACAGATGAGCACTGTTGGCATTACTGAAAATGTCAAAGGTGATAGTAAGAAGTTTGAGATCTGGTACAATGGCAGAGAAGAGGTCTATATTATTCAGGTATTGCAGTTTCACTTTCTTTCATTTCCAGATTGTTTCTCTCCCACCCCCTTCAAATATATTTTTCATATTCTTGATTATTCAGAATTACAGGAGGAAATAAGCCTTGGGCCATAGTGGGACTAAAAAGGGAACTCGGTTCTGCTTCCTCCCTTTCTAAGATTTCCTAGCCAGTAAGTCCTGGTTCACTATTCGTTCCAGCTATTAATTCATTGAACAGCTTTTGACAAGTTACCCTGCAGTAAGCATCCCTTCAAGCAGAAGATGGAAAGAGTGTTTAGATTTCCAGAACTAAGAAGAAATTTCCTGGCAGTGCCAACAATTAACCAGTGGGACAGCTTGCCTCCAGAAATTGTGAATACTCCAACACTGGAGATTTTTAAAAAGAGATTGGACAACCATTTGTCTGAAGTGGTCTAGGGTTTCCTGCCTAAGTAGGGGGTTGGACTAGAAGACCTTCAAGGTCCCTTCCAGTTCTGCAGTTCTGTAGGTGGAGGCATTTAGACCTCCAAGGGGATAAGAATGGCCAAATAAATAGGAAGGGAAGATATATTAGATGCAAAACTGCTTAGCTGAACCCTTGCCTGAATTTCTTGCAGTTAACTAAGTATGAGGATGGAAGGTCATCCTCCGAACGTACGCATTGGTTTCTGAATATTTCGTTACCAGGCTAAGCAACATCTTTTGCGGAGTTTAGGGAATGTCATTGTTGGTGTGCTTCTGCTTATAAGAGCTTCATGTGGTCAGTAGGTCTTGTGATGGGAGGGTCACGTCAGGTATGGGCCTTGTAATGGCTCAGGTGTGGGTCACATCAGGCGAGAGTCTTGTGATGGGGAGGTCAAGTCAGGTAAGGAGATGAAGTGCTGGTCGGAGGTGTGTATGTGGGTTTGTTGTGGGTCAGTTGAGTCCTTATAAGCAGAAGAACACCAACGCTGACATTCCCTAAATTCCGCTGAAGATGTTACTTAGCCTGGTAACGAAACGTTTGGAAACCAACCCACAGACACAAAGAACAAATCTCCACCCTCATCCTACAACCCAGCAGAGGTGGCATGCTGCCGGTTCACACCGGTTCTAGCGATCCGGTAGCACTGATCAGCAGTTGGCCCCCACCAACTCACACCTGACCTTTCCTGTCCTATATTTCCTTGGTTTGAAGCCCAGCTGATAGGCGCGGCAGAGCGGACTGCCGAGTCTCAGCTATTTTAATCACCAGCGCTGAAGGTAAGGTAATTTTTCATGCTTAAAATTGCCCGTTTTAGAACGCTCCGTGAAGCACGTGCAACCATACAACCGGTAGTAAAATATTTTGAATTCCACCACTCCACCCGAGCTACAGTTATTGGCCACTATTGCATTGCTAAGTATGCTGTTATGACTGTAATTGTAACTGCAGTTGTATCCTATTTTTCAGGCAGCATCTATGGAACTGAAGAACACGTGGGTGTCAGAGATCAGGAAAGTCCTAACAGGACAACTGGAAGCTTGCAGAGGTAGGACGCCGTATAAAAGAGACTGTAGCTGGGAGACACATCAACACTGCACATTCTTTCCCTTTCTGAAAGCTTGTAGAAACATGTTCCAAACACGCTTCACTGGAGTGCATTGAGATAGTTCAAGAGTGCACCTAAACTATAGATAGTTGTATTCTTAATCATCCCTTTGAACCTGCAGAAGAAGCACAGAAGGGTCAGCCTCTCTCTCTTTATATGAGAGAGATGCAGAAAGCAAATGACCCTGGTCTTGTATCCTCACAACACTGGTATGTCATGGTAGTGTTGCAGCCAGCGTTCAGGAAGTAAGTAAGCAGCTACATTTTGTGAAGCCAATCTTTCCAGATAGTCTTCAAGGAGACAGTCCTGTGTAAAGGAAACATAGCAGTCTAACCATGAGATGACAAGAATGTGAGGGGCTACCTTTGATAAATCTTGAGGTGAGGCTCCCAACCATGCCTTCTGACCATAGCTTTTGCCAACCCATAAATACATACACGCATAATAATACAAGTAAAGTGTAGAAAATTAGAGTATAAAAGACGAAAAAGATTCAAAAAGGAATAGAACAGAATAGAATTACAGAACAGAATAGCATGAATAGCGCTTTTTGGATGAAGTTTTTGATGTTAGGTGTCCATTTTAAGTTTTGAAATATTACAGAAAAGTGAGAAAAATATGGCATGATCCCTTCTGCCCTTCTTTCCATCAAAGGCTTGCCATCATTAACTTTCCCCCTTCCTCTTTAACCCTTTTTAATCCCCAGATCCATAAATCATCAGTTCAGTCTTTCCTTCTTTCAGCATAAAGTCGTGAACTTCCACCAAGTGTGGTTCCTGCTATGCTTGTGTGGGCAAACCTATGCGCAAATGCCTGGGCATTGTATCTAGTAGCTTTTCTTCGCTTCCTCCCCCTTGGACGACCTTTTCCGTGCACCCATTAAAACTTCATGATGCTGCCGAGTTGACTTTTCCCTCCCCCCTGTAAATATTTCTATTGTGGGGAGTACAAGAGGCCATAAAAGCCTGATTTCTCCCAGGTGTTTTCTCCTCTCCTTGCTTTTGAGGCCAGGTAACCCTTGGGACTTATGTTTAGCCAAGCCGCAGCTGCTCAGATTGTTCTGCATTGCTCTGGCTGTTGTCTTGATCCTGTACCAGCTGTGGCAAAGTGGGAGGAGGGTCCTCTGTGTCCTTCCCTCCTACATTTGTCCCCCAGGAATAAATGCTAAGGCAACCTTCAAAGTCATAGGCAAGGGATCCCTATCATTAAGACATCCCTCCCTACGGGATGCTTGGCACTCCCCAAGCTTGGTTGTTTTCTTGCTGACATTTCACTGCCAAACGAGATAACATCATCAGTGCTAAAGGGAGTGGTGTTGGTTCCATGTTTATATATTAGTGGCTTACCCAACACACCTCCTCACCAGCATTCAACACCCAGATCAGCAGAGTTGGTGTTGGCCAAGATTAACACTAGACCAACAATCAACACTAGACCAAAAGTAAACAATCTCCCATTCAAGGAACTACCAACAGACAAACAAGCTAACAATAAACAGCCTAATCACGGAACTGCCAAGTTGGCTCCCATCTACGCTAACAGGGCAAGTTACATATAAAAAACAGAGCAAATGCCACTCCCTTGTAACACTGGTGGTGCTACCTTTCATGTCCCTGTTAAGTTGCCCACTGAAGTGGTACCTATCTTATCTATTTGCAATTGCCTGCTTTCAGATTGCTGGGTCAGCAGGAATCGGAGCAAATGACAGTAGCTTACTCCACCACACGGCAGCGCTTGGGTCTCAAACGCAAGCTTGCCGATTGTCAGCCAGCGTCCTAAACAGGTGGAGCCACCGGGCTACCTTAGAAACACTGCTGTATCTCCTTAAAACCCAATGCGCTTAAATCTTCTTTATCTAGTCAGTTTCCAGGATATACTACAATTCCTGATAATACAGTTTGGACATACAGTAGCTTGTTTTTTTCCAGATATACCGGTTGTTAATCCTACAATTTAGACCAGAGTAAGAAACCACAGCTATAAAAACAAGAATCGCAAAGCTGAATGTGCTTCTCCACACCATCCCTTTAGTTTCGGGTGAATGAGAAGGGGCCTGCCTGAGACTATGCTCAAGTTAGTTTCTTAGAAGAAGTTCAAGCCTTTCTTATTGATTATTGCATGATCCAGCCCACTGAGCCTTTATTACTAATCTGAGTTTTTCTAGGTAACTCGTGTCAAAGTATGCATTATGTTAGGCAGCAAACATTCCCACTTCTTGGGAACCAGGTGCAGCAACAGTTTCCCATGTTAATTTACAGTAAAATTATGTACTACTTTTTTTGGCAGAATTAGCTCTGGCTTTCGAATATCTTGTTGTTGTTTTTAATTTCCCTGAGAACTTTTATTTTGTTGTACTCCAAGAAGAAACAATTTCCTTTTAAGGAAGATCGTACATGGGTTAAGGTCAGGGGTGAAATTCAATCACCTTGCACCATCTCAGGAGACAGGTGGTATGGATGATTTGAATCGGTTGGCCCCGCCCATACCTGCCCACCTTTCTTTTAGAGATTGAAATACCGGTTCGGCAAACCAGCCGTTACTTTAAAATGTAACCACCAAGCCATGCCCACAGAGCTGGTAGGAATTTTTTTTAAATTTCACCCCTGGTTACGGTATTCCACTTGTCAGTTTATGAAATGCAGGTATGATATCATCACCTTTAGCAGATGAACTTAAAAACAAGTCCCACTGTTCCAACTGAGCTTGTTTTCAAAGATACTGTATATAGCCCCTGGAGCGTTCTAGATTTAATAGTTAAATACCAGAATGAAACTTTTAATTCAATATTTAGTAAGTTAGTTTTGATGCTTTCTTGTTATAACAAGACCTTTTGGTCAGTGCTGGTGCTGCTTTTTTAAACATAAAGTCATTATCACTTACCATTAGAACAAGCTCCAGTTCTTGGAAATGTTGAAGCTTCGAGATGTCTTTGACCTTTCTTAAAGCCCTGTATTTGGCTTTCAAATATCTTGTTGAACAAAACAGAAAAATGTGTTGGGGTTTGCACATCTGGTTTGAATTCAATTTAAAAAATCAATCAGTGAATTTAAAGGCTTCCAGTGCCAGCAGTTCTGGCAGAGAAAAATAAATGTATACCCACCATCCAGTCAGAGCCGAAGAAGCTTCTTGGATAAGAAGTGAAACGTCTTCAAAGAAAAAACAAAAAGTCCAGTTGCCACTTGAAAAAGCACCTTTGCGACTACCAGGAGACTGTGAATTCTTAGGCATGAAAGCTGGCTGAGTGACTTTGGGTCAGTCATTCTCAGATAGCAGAAGGAAGGAATGTTAGTATGCTCGCCACTGTGATTTATTTGTAAAAATAACAAAGGCAGGAAACAAACAAACAATTAAAGAGGTGCTTCTCAGCCCAGGATCACTGATTTTCACCATACAGTAATGATTTTTGCACCAATGCCTACCCTGATCCAAAAGTTATTGAAAGATGCCTTAGGCGGGTTATTTAGGTGGATCACAGAAATACAAGTTCCAAGGAGATTATAATGTATAGGACACTCTATCATCTAATTCCATCATTATTTTCCTTTCCCCCATGATTCATAAAACCCTGATCAGACACTTCAATTCATGCTAAAGTTGTAATAGGATAGGGTGTGAGAAATGTCATGTATTTATTTACTTAACCAACGTACATAGCCCCATGTATAAAAATGGAGCTCTGGGGGGTGAATAAAAATAAAATAAAAACATAACTGAGGAGGAATCTTTTTTTAAAAAAATAGGTCTAGTTATTATAAAAAGACCCTAACTGCAAGCTTATTTGTTCCAGGAGGTGAAGAGAAAAAATAATTATTTGTTTTTCTTTCTTTTCCTGTAACAGAAGCAAGCCAGCTTCACCAAAGAATAACAGAGAGTGTTTATCATGCGCCAATGAATTCAGGCAACTCCTCCAGGTATGGAACACCCAAACCGTGTGGCCTAGAACAATCTTGGCAACTTTATGACTTGTGGACTTCAACTCCCAGAATTCCCCAGCCAGCATGGCCTTGAATAGTGGTTCTTAACCTTTCCTTCAGCACGGAACTCCTTTAAATACCCTTTGTGGCCACGGATCCCCAAGACTTAAGATTTAAATCATGACATTTCTTCAAGCATCCGTGAACCCTCTGTGATGACATCGCAGCCCCCCCAGAAGTCCACAGACCACAGGTTGAGAACCCCTAGTCTAGAATCTTCCTGTGACTTCCCAGCAGTTTGGGTGGCTTCTGAGGTGGGAAACCAGAATGTGGCTCCTAATTTGTCTGAGGTGCCAGCAAGGAAACTCACATGGTTGTAGATGCCATCTTGACCATTTTTGACCACTCTTCTCAATGGTAGTCATAAGTCAAGGACTACCTTTACAGAGGCCTAGTCTAAAGCTACTATCAGGAACCGCTTTGGGTTTCTCCTACAGAATAAAGCAATAGAACATCTTTTATGGCCAGACTGTCATGTAATTTAATCTAAAATAAACATAAAAGTTCTAGAGGAAACATGAGGCCAGTGAAGCTATAGAACAGGGATTAAAGCAGATTTAAATTTTGCTGGGTTTTGATTTATTACACACACGAGAAGAAATTCAGAGAGGAAAACTCCACTGCACTCTAAGACAGCCTTAAGGGAAAACTGTAATGCCATGACATTTATATCTTGTTTTTAAAGAATTATGATATTGCAAAGTGAATTACATCATGGCTTTGTCCTCAGGGTGATGGATTATAAAAAGGGGCTGAAAGGATGTGGAAACAGATAGCCAAGAGCATTTTCTACATGTGGCTTTTACTCAACTAAACATTTGGGTTGTTTCCTGATGAGGATTAAGTTGTCCAGAGCTATAAATTGATAGTTACAGAAATATAAATGCAGAATTATGGAACTTCATTTGCAGATTTCTTAAAGGTGAACCAGATAAACTAAAAAATATGCTAATCCACGTGTGCACAAATATGCAGAGAGTTGAGGATTTTACTTGCAGTCCAGATCAGTAGTAATAGCACCTCACAAATCAAACATAACAAGAAATGAACATGGGGCATGTTTGAAGATTGCCGTTCCCATAGTAGGTCTAAATAGGTCATTTAGAATTTCCCAGGAGATGGTACTTAGGTGTTATGTCTAATCAGGTAGCCCTCAACTTACAATCATTCATTTAGCGACTGTTTGAAGTTACAACAGCACTGAAAAAAGTGACTTACAACTTGTCCTTGGATTAACGACCATCGCATGGTCGTGTGATCAGAATTCAGGCACTTGGCAACCGGCATGGATTTACAATGGTTGCCACATACATGTGATCATCATTCGCTGCTTTCCCAGGGAGATTCCGACAACTATGGCAAGAAAATTCATAACGTGGGGCAAAACTTACTAATAACTGTCTTGCTCAGCAACAGAAATTTGGGGCTTCCGTGCTGTAAGTAAGTCAAGGATTTACTTGCAGTTCTCTGGGGCTCAGCAATGGACTGGCAATGAGTCAAAGACAATGACTTGAAGACTTGGAACTAAAAAAAGAGGTTGCTAAGGCAGCACTCGAGTTAGTGGGGTGTGAGAAAGGACATACCAGGCATCAACGCATTGCTTCAACTTCTTAGTCTAGTCTAGTCTAGAGAAAAGAAAAACTAAGGGTGATACGATAGCAGTATTCCAGTATTTGAGGGGCTGCCACAAAGAAGACGGGGTCAAATTATTCTCCAAAGCACCAGAAGGCAAGACAAGAAGCAATGGAGGGAAACTAATCAAGGAGAGAAGCAATCTGGAACTGAGGAGAAATTTTCTAACAGTGACAGCAATTCACCAGTGGAACAACTTGCCTCCAGAAGTTGTAGATATTCCAATACTGCATATTTCTAAGAAGAGATTGGACAACCATTTGTCTGAAATGCTATAAGGTTTCCTGCCTGAGCAGGGGGTTGGACTAGAAGACCTCTAAGGTCCCTTCCATCTCTGTTATTCTGTTCAGTGTGGCTTCAAGTTGCCCTTGGCACTACCAGGTGTAGCATTTTCCCTCTCCTCTTGAAACCATTTCTGCAATAGGTGTAATTTAGTATTCTTCATTGAAAAAGAATTATTGCAATCTGCCCGGCTGCTATTAGACTGTTGGATTATTGGTCGACTCTCCACCAAGAGGAAGAACTAGGACCCCAGATAAAAAAGTTTTTTTTTTTTTAATTTTATGGTGGTGTGGACACCAAATGTATGTTTTGCAAAGAGAACAAGTTGCTGGCAATTTGCTATCAATGCAGGTGTCCCCTTTTCTTTTCCTGATCTTTAGAATTGCCCTCCGTGGTCATTTTGGCTTGGGCTGCAGGAAAGATTAGACATCCAGCTGCCTTTTTGATGCCTGACTGGTGTTTCCCATGGAGTTGGTTAGATTTTACTCAGGTTGAGACAGGCTTAGCGTTCGGTTGAAAGAGCTGTACACATTCAGCCAGTTGAATGTTGCAAGTTCTGTCTCCACTGGATATATTACAGAATGTCTGCTGATGCTATGATAACAGGCAGTTTGTTTACTATTTCTCCACTTTCGTTAGTTTGGGAAACATACCTGAGTGTTTCAACTGTTGACCAGCATTTGTCGAACTCTGCAACTTTTAAGATGTGTGGACTTCCTCAGGAAGAATTCTGTGAGTTCATCAACTCCACAGATCTCAAAGTTGCCAACTCCAGAGAGCTCACGTTGACAGACTTGGAATGTAGTTCTTTCCATTCTGTCCTTAAGTGAGTCAGTGTGTTAAGCGAACACAACTTGTGATTTTACTACCGGCTTCTCTACTGACTGGCTTGTCTGAAGCCAGCTCTGAAGCGCACAAATGACAATTGCGTGACTGAGGGGATGCTGCTATAGCCATAAATGCAAGGGCTGGTTGCAAATTTACTTTTGCAGCACTGCTGTAACTTTGAATGGTGGCTAAACAAGGAGGTTGCTAAGCGGGGTTTACATACACACGCAGATCCATCCCGAGAGGAATATTTTTAAAACAAGTGTCCTAGGAAGAAGGTGCTGAGATGCTCTGCTTGGTGCAGCAAATCCCTTTCAAGATGTTAGCCGTCACCTAACCATGTTTGTTACATCTCTTTTGACTCCACAAGGTATGGCAGAAAATCCATGAGTTTGTGTGAAAATAAATCTGAACTCTCAAGCTTGGAAACATCAAACAACCGGAACGTGAATCCCAGCACCAGGCAGAAAAGAGGTAGGCTGTGCAGAAGAACCTCTCACCAAAAAGCTAGAAGGAAGGGGTCATGGGAACAGAAACTCTTGGGCAGTAAGGCTATCAAAATAGGGATTGATACAGTGAAATTGATGACTCCGTCATGCTCTTGCAGAATAAGAAATTTCTCTGTTATAAGTCTTGCATATTCAGTCGGAATACAATTCATGTGGCCAGTTGGAACATGGAAAGAATCAACCCTGCTTTTTTTAAAAAACAACAACAACACTTTGATATAAAGCAAGGGTCTTCAAACTTGGGAAGTTTAAGACTTGTGGACTTCAACTCCCAGAATTCCTCAGCCAACATGACTGGAGGAGGAATTGTGGGAGATGAAGTCCACAAATCTTAAAACTGTTTGAAGACCCCTGATATAAAGCCCCAGCATAAACAAGAAGTTGTGGCCCTAAAAATAGAATGCAAAGAAGAGCAACAAAGATGATTAGGGGCCTGGAGGCTGAATCATGTGAAGAATGGTTGCAAGAATTGGGTATGTCTAGTCTAGAGAAAAGAAGGAATAGGGGTGACATGATAGAAGTGTTCCAATAACTAAGGGGTTGTCACAAAGAAAGGGGGCTCAGTCTATTCTCCAAAGCACCTGAGGGCAGGATCAGCAGGATAAAAAAATAATCAAGGAGAAAAGCAACCTAGAATTAAGGAGAAATTTCAGTAACAGACCCAAAGCAATCAAAACCCCGAGGCCTGGAGTTTCCTCAAAGTATGAATTTATTAGAAATCTCATCTTGGCACATCTGGGGAAAACCCGACTCTGAAGGACCCGAGTGTCATTAAAAAATATCCCAATAAAGAGGAACACAGACAGACCACAAACAGTTATTCTTATCCTAAGATCAGAGATTTATTTCATGAGCAATTTGGAACAATTTGAAGCTGAAATATTTATTGACAGGTAGGACATTGCAATAGATAATTTTATGTACTATACTTAGATCGGACCGAAGGCGGCGTAGTTCTAGGTTGTCTAGGTCTAAAATTTCGAGTCTGGTGGCCTAAGGTATTCTGCAACAAATAGAGGAGTGGAGAACTCTTCTTGTGAAATATTTCTGGACTTTCTCAACTGTGTTAATATCAGGTACATAATGTGGGTTCCAGACTGATGAGCTGTATTTGAGTATTGGTCTAGCAAATGTTTTGTATGCTCTAGTTAGTAGTGAGATATTACCGAAGAAAAAGCTATGCAGGATTAGGTGAACAACTCTTAATGCCTTTTTGGCTATGTAGTTACAGTGGGCTCTAACACTTAGATCATTTGTGATGAATACTCCAGGGTCCTTGACATTTGGAGTACTCACTGTACAATATTGACATTGACAATAAAGAGACACAACTTTAGTTCGTGTCTCTTTATTCTGGGGCCTGCTGTCATCCAAGAGCCTTATTGAATCTGATAGATCAATAGCCTATATTCTTTTGTTTCTCTCACAAGGTTTTCCCAACCCAAATCAAATCCCCAAAGTAATTTCCCCCAAGTAACGCGTCCATCACATGGTCCAATCAGGTCGCAGCCCCAATTCCGGCTGGCTTTTGTCCGTGCCTCTCCCAACATTTGGTACAGCGGCCTTGGCTCCCACGGGAAAGAATATTATTTTGGCTACACATCACCCAGCTAGCTCTATCAGCCTGAAGATGCTCCCAAAATGGCTTCAGGGCTGATAAGAACAATCCGCGGAATGACTTTTCTCCAGAAGCTGTGGGTGCTGCATCACTGGAAGCTTTTAAGAAGAGATTGGACAGCCACTTGTCTGGAATGGCGCAGGGACTTCTGTCTGAGCAAGGGTTGGATTAGAAGGCCTCTAAAATCTCTTCCAGCTCTGTTATTCTATATTGATCTCTCCCCATTTGAGGTACTGAATGCTTAGGCTGGCTAAGGGTAGGAGAATCCAGTGATTCAGTGACCAGTTCCTGTAGACACCTACAGCACAACTTTTGTATTACTTGCAACTTGGCTATATGCCATCCTTTAAACCGGAGGTCTCCAAACGTGGCAACTTTAAGACTTATGGACTTCAACTCCCAGAATTCCTCAGCTTGCTGGAAAGGAAGGAAGGAAGGAAGGAAGGATTAGCAGAACTATTGTCAATTATACCTGGATCATATTAATAGACAAAAGACCCATCATTTCACCATTCACCAAAACCCCTTCAGACGTCCACCAGTGTCAGGGGAAACAACAACTGCAACTATAACAATCACTGAGGTTCAACCTCAACATCCTCAGAAGAGGCAGCCAGCCAAGCAGCCCAGAATAAACCACCCTGGAGGGCAGCAACCAGTGACAGAAGGGAGGGACCATTCCTGCCACAATATACATTTGCCACCTGGAGAGGTGTTGCTTCTACCATAAAAGCAGCTATATTTGATGCAGAGCAGGAAGAGAGGAAGAAAGGAGGTTATCTTTGCTGTAGGCTAGCGGCGGCAGGTAAAAGCAGTTAGGCTAGCGGCCTTGAGAAGCAGTTCATCTGAACTGACGCCAGGACAACCTGGTTGGGCAGATCCACATGGAGTCAATTTCATTAAGTTAAATTATTCTCTAAATCAGGGATCTCCAGCCCTGGCAGCTTTAAGACGTGTGGAGCTCAGACGCGCAGAATTCCCTAGCTGGGCTGGCTGGCTGAGGAATTCTGGGAATTGAAGTCCGCATGTCTTAAAGTTGCCGAGGTTGGAGACCCCTGCTCTATAAATGGAAAAAATACGGATGTCCTTTTCAAGTCTCCAACCTGCTTATCTTGCCTCTAGAAAACTATGCTTTGAACAAAATGCAATAGCAGAACCCAGTTAGATAGCTTCTTCCCTAAGGTTTAATGGTAGTTTGGACTCTTTTTTTCTTTTTCTTTTACAAATACTGTACAGCATCTCTTTGACTAATAAGCAAGTACTGGCGTGCATAACGCCAGACGTGTCACTGGAAGGCAAAAATCACAAAAGTAACTTTGAACATGTCCTGCTGGGGAATTCGCTGGAGAAAGCAATTACGTTGGGAAGAGTTTGCGGTAAAAGGAAACCAGGCTGTCAAAGAACATTCCAGTTGAGATGGGAACAAAGTTAAAAGTGAATAGAACCGGGGATTTTTAAAAAAAGAGACCATCGAAGTTAGCAGAGGCATCAATTACATACACCAGAGGTCTCAAACTTGGCAATTTTAAGACTTGTCTTAAAGTCTTAAGGTTGCCAAGTTTGGAGGCCCCTGGCATACACCTTTCCCTCTGTGTCTACTCTGAAGTAAGCAAGAGCCAGACATTCGGAGCAACAGTATGAAACTGAACAAAGTAAATTTATTCACTTTGCCTGTTTTGGAATCTGGACTTCTTTAGGTTTTATGGCAGAATTGCAACCGTCCTTGGTAAATACGTCAGAAGTGACAAACAAATACTTTGCCCCAGAGTGACCCCGCTTCCAGGTGTGAGATGAGGATAAACAGGATTGTTAGGGCTTTATTTAGAATGATGATTACTAGGTACATGAGAATAATAGCAAACCTGGGATGAGTTGCCTAAGTGACCAGGTTGAATTTCCTTCAGAAACTCTTGTCTTAATTATATGACAAAGACAGAAGAGCTAAATTGGTTTGGCAGGACTAACCTCATTGTTTGATTATCAACAAGCCAAAGCAGGTTTTTTTAAGATACAAAAACTTTTATCTTATAACAGGAAAAATCCTTCCTTCCTTCCTTCCTTCCTTCCTTCCTTCCTTCCTTCCTTCCTTCCTTCCTTCCTTCCTTCCTTCCTTC